GAAAGCTGAGCCAGTGATTGAAATAGAAATGTAGATTAGATTCCTGAAAGTCTGGGCTCACTGCTGACACACTGAATATACCTCGGCCAGTCACTGGATCTCTCCCTATCTCAGCTTCTCCGCCTATAAAACAGGGGTAATAATGCTTGCTGCTAGATAAGTCAGCAGAACACTTGGAGAACTTCGGACGGAAGGCACCAGAAGTGTTTTGCTATCTGCACCATGACCTCATACTGTCTGAGGAGTGGTTCTAATATTCTAATACCTTATTGTCAAATATCTCTTCACCTTGCTTTCTGCCTTATTCGTTTCTAGGTATACTTCCTCCCTAGGTATTTTCTTTCTTTCTTTCTTTCTTTCTTTCTTTCTTTCTTTCTTTTTTTTTTTTTTTTTTTTTTTTTCGAGACAGGGTTTCTCTGTAGCTTTGGTGCCTGTCCCGGAACTAGCTCTTGTAGACCAGGCTGGCCTCGAACTCCCAGAGATCCGCCTGCCTCTGCCTCCCAAATGCTGGGATTAAAGAAGTGCACAACCAAACCTGGCTTCTTTTCAAAAAATTTTAATTAAAATTTATATGTATTTATTTCTATGATTATGTGTGGGGATGTGTGACCATGCCATACATGAGGTCAGAAATAACCCCCAGGGAGTAGATTCTCTCCTACCAGGTTATCTCTCTTGGTGGCAAGCACCTTGACCGGCTGAGCCAACACGCTGGCCCTATTCAGGTCTCTTTTCTAGAGAAAGGAGATGATAAGAAGGTGCAGGTTAGTTACGTGAAACTAAATCTAAACTTACCCCGATGGTTCAACTAACTAAAACTGTTGCCTCTTTGGGAAAACTGCAAAGGCTGTAAAGGTCAAAGGGCCATCTTGGGAGTAACAAGTTCACTAAAGAAAAAATATGTTGCTGATTCAGTAACAAAACTCAGAGGTAAAGTCAGAGATAAGCAGTTGGCTGTGTTTCTCAAGAGCAAAGCACTTCGCTCTCTTTGTATCTGTCAACAGGCTTATCTACACCTAATAAAAATATTTCAGAGGGGCACCTTTGGTCTTTGGAACCTGCCAGTTAATAACAGAAAACCTTATTTTATTTCTAAAGGGAAAGATTTCGTTGGCAATCTGCCAAATAAGATAGTGTGTGTGTGAGTGTGTGTATGTGTGTGAGTGTGTGTGAGAATGTGTTGTGTGTGTGAGTGTGAGAGAGTGTGTGTGTGAGAGTGTGTGTGAGTGTTGTGTGTGAGAGTGTGTGTGAGTGTGTTGTGTGTGTGAGTGTGTTGTGTGTGTGAGTGTGAGTGAGAATGTGTGTGAGTGTGTGAGAATGTGTGTGTGTATGTGTGTGTGAGTGTGTGAGAATGTGTATGTGTGTGTGTGAGAGTGTATGTGTGTGTATGAGTGTGTGTGTGTGAAGGCTGATCAAGGAGATGAGATTGCAGATGTGGCTCTGCTTCTTATGTGGGTTCTGGGATTCAAACCCTGGTCCTCATGCTTGCACTTCAGGTCCTTTACTGACTGAGCTATCTCCCAGCCCCAAAGATACCTTTTGTTTTTAAACAGCATTACACTACTCAAACACAGCTTGAAATGTCTATTGGACTGATCATGAACTACAAGAAATAAACACTCTCTTCAGTGGAAATAACACACAAAACGCTTTGGGCTTCACAGCAATTTCAACTATAATAACCTTTGACAATTTTGTAGAATCAGAGAGTAAACATCATCACTATGTTGATAAAATTCTTTCCCTGGCAGAGATGTAAATATCATCTGCCCCTCTTCCTAAGGCCCCTATGACAAACCAAGGTACCATTCCACCAGAATTTACCAGGGGAGCCAAGGAGTTTATTAGCCTTACTCACTGAGCCCTGGGCGCGCCGTTACCAGCAGTAGTGTAGGTGATGTTAAAGCAACCATACTGGCAAGTCTGCGCTCAGCAGAGTTTCCATAGCTATATACATGGAACCACCCCCAACCTTCCCCACCTATGTCCTCTAGATCCTCCCCCAAGGCTAAGAGGAATTAGAGCAGAATTACATACAACTAATTGAGAGGAGAGACTGGATACTCAGGTGAGGGTCCCCAATCCTCTCTAGGAAGGAAGCCATTCGGCCCAGCTGTGATGCTCTTTGGTCAACTAGTCCGGCAGAACTCCTGGTGGGAGTTTGCTCAGAGCATAGTCCTGTGCCAAAATGTAATGTACATTTAATTAGGAAATCGGAATCACAGTAGGACTTTCTCATTAGTTTTAGTTTTCTTGAAAAGCATTTTTTTATAAGATTTAGTTTTGTGTGTATGAGTGTTTTGCCTACCCGTGTACCACAGGCATTTGTGGTGACTGAGGAAGTGGTAAGCCTCTATGCGGGTGCTGTGAACTGAACCAAGGTTCTTGAGAGAACAGCAAGTGTTGGGGGCTGCAGACCCCTGGCCCCTTGACTTTGCCTGCCGGAGTGAACCTGTCTTGAAAAGCTTAAAAAAAAAAAAATCTCCAGCCTAGTTGCCCGTATCACATACCAACCTGTAGTGCCATGGGCACTACAAGCCAGTACTCATAACCACTGAGCCAACACTCAAGTTCCTAAGCTTTTAATTTTTAATATTTTTTTTAACATGAGTCTCTTTTAAATGTACCTTTAAAAAGAAAAAAGATTTATTAGTGTCCTGTCTGCATGTATCCCTGCCCACCAGAAGAGGGCACCAGATCTCATTACAGATGGTTGTGAGCCACCATGTGGTTGCTGGGAATTGAACTCAGGACCTTTGGAAGAGCAGGCAATGCTCTTAACCGCTGAGCCATTTCTCCAGCCCTAGCCCTGAACTCTTGAGTTCAAGCAATCCTCCCTCAGCCACTTGAGTGGCTACAATTATAAATGTGTACCAACCATTGTGGGGCACAATTACCACCATTAACTTATTAACAATTCCTGCTCCCTGCAGATGGCAGTGAGAGTCCACACTCACATGAGCACTGCGGGATAAATGAGAACACATCCCACCACTGGCTTTTCAGGGTTGTAAAGGTCTCTCAAGCTTTGATGAGTATAAAGGTCTTACACACACACACACACACACACACACACACACACACACACACACACAGCAGTAACAGGGAAGATTTCACTTAAGACTTACAACTGAGGTCTTAGAAGCAAAACTCAGCCAAATAATATGACTGCAAAAAGGGAGTCAGGAAGAGGATGTCTAAGAGTCTAAGAACATGCAGGATATGAGGCCAAATGTCCTGTCCGCAGTGTGCAGTCCAAGTTTTTCTTTACTCAGCTGAGACTATACTTCCCTTAAGACAAGAGCATCCTTAGCCACACAGGGCTATGGGTGGTCAGTAACATCTTCCTCGGGAAGAGACGACATGGACTCATTCATAAGAAGTTGCTTTGTGACCATGTTAAGGACAATTCAGCAGAATAACTTTATCATCTTCATCACCTTCATGAGAACTCCAGGTATACACAGCCAACATAAAGGGCACTTAAGATCACATGGGCTGGGCTGTGGTGGTGCTCACCTTTAATTCCAGCACTTGGGAGGCAGAGGCAGGCGGATCTCTGAGTTTGAGGCCAGCCTGGTCTACAGAGCTAGTTCCAGGACAACTTGGGCTGTTACACAGAGAAACCCTGTCTCGAAAAGCTAACGAAAACAAAACAAAACAAAAAAAAAAAATCACATGGGACTAGGTTTCAGCTTAGGCATTAATTGACATAAAATATACAAACTTTGATCTCTGTTGTCATTGAATGAAAATCAGCTTACTTTGAGAATTAGAAAATATAAAGAAAGTAATTGAAAGAAGGGAAGCAAATTTAGTTTTTAGAAAATGTAAAACTGGGGGCTGGAGAGATGGCTCAGCGGTTAAGAGCATTGCCTGCTCTTCCGAAGGTCCTGAGTTCAATTCCCAGCAACCACATGGTGGCTCACAACCATCTGGAATGAGGTCTGGTGCTCTCTTCTGGCCTGCAGGCATCACACAGACAGAATATTGTATACATAATAAATAAATATTTATAAAAAAAAAGGAAATGTAAAACTGATAATGTACTGTGAAATAAAGTCACAGTGCTCACTTTCCGGAGACCTGAATTTCCTCTATCCTGCTGATGCTTACTTCTCTTGAAAGGATCAGAAACACAACTGGAGAAAAGCGGAGTTAGAGCCATGTCTAAGCAACATGCAGATCTGTTTTCCTCGGCTGTGCAGGGGCAGCGAACCCACAGCCTCACGTGCTAGACAAGTGTTCTATCACTCCAGTCCTGGCTTTCTTAGGACACAGTGATGCTATTTAGCCCAGGCTGACCTCCAATGCCCAGGCAGTCACTTTCTCTTTACTTATTTACATAATAGGTGTTGACGACTGAACCCAGGGCCTTGGGCATGCTAGATAAGCGTGTAATGCCCCCGTCCTTTTAACAGGTATAATAAGGGTTAGTGAGATGGCTCAGCCAGTAAAGGAAGTTGCCACTAAGCCTAAACCTGAGTTAGAGCCCCAGAACCCACATGGTAAAAGAGAAATGACTCCCACAATGTATACTCAGTACATGACTACTGTGGCATGTGTATACTCACATAAAATAAATAAAATGTAAAAAATAATTGGAGATATTCTTCAGTACACATCCTCAGTGACTATGAAAATTGGTTTATGGGGGTATATGTATGTCAGAATATCTATAAAGCACCATAATATGTATATGTAGATATACAGTGAATATGTGATATAGAACGAGGGGTGACAGGAAATCTAAAAAGGTTCTTCAGGGAGGGAATTAATACATAAGAACCTGTTACAGAGACTCTGGGGAAATCTAGATACTAAAGCAAATCCACTTGAATGTTCAATCAAACTACATGGATGAAAACATCATTGTCACTATGTTTCTAAGCAATGTACTTGTTTGACATGAGCCTCTCTTAGCCAAGGTCATTAAAATTTGCAAAGAAAAGTTGAATTAAAAAATATGCTTGTAAGTCATTTAAGTTTATAATACAGACTACAAACTCAAAAAGTAAATTTATTTAAATTACTAAAATAGTTTTTAAAGTTATTTACACATTAGCTGCTACATTTTTTCCTGATAGATATAAGCAATATATCACTTCAAAATTATTTAAGTCAGTGGAACATTCAACAAAACACTTCTTTTTCCATATGATATGTATGTAAAAAATAAAGACTTTTCCAAACTTTTTAATAATTCTTTATAAAATAAACCTGATTGCCTGCCTTCTGACAGGAATGGATTATAATAAAGGTACAGTCCCCCTGATAAGAAGCTAGACTTCTTTCTCCCACCAACCATGAGACCCCAGGGGTAAAAGAAAGGTTGGCTAGTACTAAAAAGCAGAATTTTCATTTAGATGCCCATGGGCAAAAGAACTCAGATCTAGAATTATAAGAGTTGAAGACAAAAAAGCAGCTGACAGATGAGAAAGCCAAGTTTTAAAACCCTAAGATACTATAGCAGTGGAAACATATGTCCCACGTACTTCACGTGTGCAGTGGAAACATGTCTCATAGGCTCAACGTGTGCAGAAGAAACATATGTCCCGCAGGCTTCATGTGTGGTCAAAAAACCCTAAAATACTATAGCAGTGGAGACATGTCCTGCAGACTTCACGTGTGGACAGGTTCACTCCTTTGACTTGAGGCACTCAACAAAACCGATCATGTGCACATAATATTTTTGTATTTGTTATAAAGTTAAAAAAGTACACACGTACAAGCACAGAATGGCATCCTCTTCAACAGCCCAGCAGAGAACTGTTTACCAATTTTTGAAGTTGTCTTTGTGTGTGAGGGGGGTTGCTAAGACAGTATTTCAATCTGCAGCCTGTGCAGGCTGGTTTGAAACTCACTATAGTTAGTGATGGCCATGAATTCACAGCACCCCTCCTGCTTTAGCTTCCCAAGTGCTGGAATTACAGACAGGAGCCACCTGACTTTGAAATGCATTTCTACTGCCGAGGCATGATGTAGTTCAGTGGCAGAGTACTTGACCAGCACGGGTGGGTCTTAGGTTCAATCCCTGGTATTGGAAAAAGCAAAAAATTGAAAGAGTCCGAACCACCAAGTTGAGGATGTACTGGAAATTGTATTTCTTTAAGACAGAAACTGTCAGGTTAAACCAAAGAGACCTACCTTTAAAAATGGTACGTGTCAAATATGGATATAAACATGACAGACATGCTGTGGGAATACCCTTTTACTGGGGAGTGGGACTGGGATGGGGTCTGATATATACATTCCATATTGGCTTTAGATTCAAGATGCTACCACCTCATTTTGTTGAGCACTGAGATTACAGGCGTGTGGAATGCTGATTACTGAACCCAGGGTAACGAAGAAGCTGGGCAAACGCTCTACCACTGAGCTTAGCCTCACAACAAGAACTTTCTCTAGGTGGGGAAAAAGACAGAAGGATGAAGGGCAAACTGTAGCAGCTCACCAAGGTAACAGCCTAGGCACATCTAAGTAGCCCACTGCCCAGAGGCTTCCTTTTAAAGTAACATTTCATTTTGAAACCTCCCCCCCCCTTTTATTTAAAAACAAAACAAAAAACAAAGAAAAAACAACCCAGTGTCTCCTGTAGCCCAGGGTGGCAGAAAACTTACTCTGTGGATGAGGCTGGCCTTGAACCTCTGACCCTCCTGACTCTGCCCTGGGAAAGTGCTGAGATTACAGGCATGGCTCACCATTGCCCAGCTTACAGATATTTTTCCCCTTCCTTTTCCTTCTCCATTCAACAATTTCTCTTACCTTTCCACCTCCCAAGCCCTCTTCATCCCCTCTCTAAAGCCAGTGGGGGGGGGGCACTAAACTGCACACCCAGATGACTTTTGTCTTTTATAGGTAAAAGCTAAGGATCACACACTTAAAAATGGTATAAATGGAAAAGTAATGGGGGAAACCCACAGCTACAATTAGAAAGCTGTCAGACTAAAAGGGCCACAAACAAACAAAAAAATCCAGAGTTAAAAAGAATGCTGATTCTTTGAGAAAGGCACCTAGTCCTTCTCATAGGTCACAGCACAGCAAGAATGATTTGGGCACAACCAAGGCAGGTCCATGGGGAATTGCATCGACTTTAGCCCATGCTAAATACCCTTAACATAGTTATTAGAGAAACGATTCTCTCAAATCACAGATAATCAGGCTGCACAAACGATTTAGGTATTCCACTTTTATGTATGAACTTAATTTCCTTTAAAAAGAAACCAGTTTTCAAAAACTGCTCCAGACTCCGTCTCTAGTTAGAAAGTCTGAAAACTGCCCAGACCTCGAGACGTGATTTCCGCTTCCCCCTCACAGGCAGCTGCCCCCTTTCAAGGCATTTTCGGGCTGCACGGGCAGCACCAGGTGAGAAATGCGGCTCCAGAGCCCATTCAGCTTGTCCGGGTCCATGTGGTTGTAGGAGCTGGCCGTGTGAGAGCTGGTGAACTTGACTTTGAGGAAATCCCTCACTTTCTCTTCAATTTCCTTCAAGCCTAGACTGGCTTCTAGTGTCTTCTCCTCCAACAGTACAGTCAGGACTAGGGCTACATCTTTGAAGGCTGCATTCTCATGGTCGCAGTATTTATAGAAGATCAAGGTTGAGCCTGCAGGCAGGGACTCGAAGCGGTGTACCACGGCTGCATTCTGGCCATTTTTAAACCCATCGCTCAGTTCTTGATCTACTTGCTGTTTGACCTCATCACTGTCTTGAGCAGCTTTCCCTGCTCCATCAATCCGGATGGCACGGACACTACGGAAGGAAGAATAGGCATCGGCAATTTGTTCACTCAGACACTTGAGCACTTCTTCAGCATCTTGGGCTGCAGTGAGCAAAAGGATGGCAGGCTGGAGCCGAGGGAGGGAGCTATTCAGATGTCTTTCTAGGAATGTTGTGCCTCTTTTCCACAGCTTCTCATCTTGACTCTGGTACTTAGACTGAAGTTGTTTCATCTGGTTCTGAAATTCTTGAACGGCAGTGGTTTCTACTGCAGGAGTATAACGGAGCCAAAGCACTCCAGAAACAAGGGCAACGACCAGAGCGAGCAGCCCCAGCTTTATGTTGACAGAAGACTCATTGTGCGGTTGTTCAGCAGCTTCTGCTGGGGGGAGGGGGGGTAACACATATTACATTTTCTTAGATTCTAGGGTGAGTGATTTCTTTTCACTCTGTGTATGTGCATATGGGGACAGGCGCTCACTCTGCAGAGGTGAAATGCAATGGGTCTCCTGGAGTTAGAGTTACAGGTGACTGAATGTCTGAGAGGTGCTGGGAATTAAACCTGGTCCTCAGCATGAGCAGTACATAATCTTAACTGCTCAACTCGATCTCTAGCCCCATGCATGACTCGGTCTAGAACTCGGTATGCATATCAGGCTAACCTGAAACTCCCTGTCTCTGCCTCTTGAGTGTTGGGATTAAAAGTGTGTGCCACCATATCTGACTAAGGGAAAGTCCTTTAAAGAAAGGAGCTGGTAATTTTTTTTCTTAAATAAATATATCCTCTTTAGGAAAAGCTCATAAAAGCTAAGTTTAGATAAATATAAATGTTAGAAAGACAACTGTTTCTAAAGAAAAATAATTTAAATATAAATATATCTTAGTAATTTTTCATATTTAAAAATTTCATAATTCACGATAATTTCAGAAGTAAAACTTTATAAAACAAGAGTTATGAACATTTTCTAACAGTTGTGAAGTAAATAGTAGATGCTTTATAATAAACTGTTTAATTTAGAAACTCAGTAGTTAACACGGCTGGCTATCTAGGGTAGAATATTTCTGAAGTATATAAAGAAAAAATTCAACATAAACAAATGCATTTCATATGCTACAACAGCTCCTTGTCCATGTAAATTAACAGTGCCGATACATCTTTGTGGCACGCAAGCTGACAGTGCTGAACTCTGGCACTGAACTTGTCATTATCATTGGAAATAATTATGGTATCATTTTGTTTACATAATGCTTTTCAATTTGATTGATGTTTTCCATAGATCACTTCATTTACCAATTAATAATATAGTACCATTTCTGAATCTTTTATTTATGGATGACTTTAGCCTAACAGAGGTACTAGGGATCTTTTAAAGCAGCGATCTCAGTGTGACCTGAAGCTATCTAAACAGTATTTGTTGGTGTCGACCTGAAAATTAACAGTAAGATATTTCTGTTTTTTCTACTGTGCTGACACTTGCACTGGAATGACTGGGGACCAGCACTCAAAGCTGTATTAGCACATTCATTGTAGTTTCATTGCCAGCATACAAGGCTAAACATAATCGGAGAATGCAGGTGCTGTGATGCCTTTAATCCCAGCACTCAGGAGGCAGGTGCATTTCTGTGAGTTCAAAGCCAGCATGGTCTATATATAGTGAGAGTTCCAGGCAATCCAGGGCTATGCAGAGGGACTCTGTTTAAAAACGAAAAAAAAAAAAAAAAAAAAAAAACCCAAAAACTCAAAAGCAACAACAACAACAACAAAATCAGGGCTGGTGAGACGGCTCAGTAGGTAAAGGTGCCTGTCATTAAGTCTGATGACCTGAGTTTGATCCCCACCACCCACATATTAGAAGTGTCAGGATACTTCTAATATACACATAATAAATAAATATAACCATTTTTTAATGGGAAAGAGGAAGAACCAGTTTCATTTAAGACTGTTCTTCATGAAGAAGCTAATAATTTTGTTCTACCTCAGTCCTTGTGGGCTGGGGCAGGGTGTAGCTTGGCATAAATGGCATGTGTGAGGGTCTTGGCAGGATCCCCAGCACCATAAAAAATAAAACTCAAGACTTTCAGACCTCTGAGTACACAGTCTCAGTGTTCTGTGTAAAGACACACACACGTCGGCAGCTCAGCACAGACACGGTTATCCAAAGGAAAAGGGCTTTGCAACTGACTATAAGTTGAATTAACCACTTAAAGTGAATACCATTTTTACTTGAAAAAAAAAAAATGCCACTCTATGGCTAGTCACACGCCTGCATTCGCCAGCTACTTGAAGAATGGATCAAAGTACATCAGTGACTTTCAGGAAAGTGACTGACAGTGTTTGCTGATAGTCTAATGTTCAAAATTTCAAGTGAAAACTACAATTTTGGGAAATGTTATAATGTTGCCATTATAAAATTGTTTAGCCACTGAACAATCTCTCCAGTCCTACTTATCAACTTTGATTTTTGATATTATGAACAATATAGTTAAGAGGAAACTAGACATTTCATATGGTTTGCCTACACAGAATTTCACTGCTGGTAAAACATACTTTTTCCATAGAAGTGTTTAAGGTGCCTTAAATACCACTAAGTCACATGGCTGACAAAGGATGTTTCAAACAAATACGGGCCACCAACTTTGGACTCATTCAATGAACAGATAAACTTACGCTGGCTGGAGGTTGATGGAGATTGGTTTCCAAACTCTGATTCCTGAATGCTATTATCTAAAAAATAAAAAATAATTTCAAAAGACCATCAATTTTGTTTGCTCACTTCCATTAGGGAAAAGAAAATGCAAATTCTACCAAAAGAAGGCAGCGGTGAGGCAGAGTATCTGAACGCCTGCTGCACTGAAGGCCCTTCACAGTTCATCACAGCAACATTGACCTAGCACAGAGTGGACATTAAAACACTAGAGTTGAGAGAAAGCCTTGCAGCTCAATTAATAGGAATGGCCCACTCTGGGACAAAGGAAAGAAGACAAAAAGATAAGGATACCACAAAAAAGCACGAAATCATCTGGAAAACGACCATTTATTTACAAAACTGCTGTCTGGCGAAGACGCTGTAAAGAGGAAGGAAATGTAGATCATGGATTACCTAAATTACGTGGAATAAGGTATTTCCATACAAAACTCAATCTTAAATTCTCATTATTTTCTATTTTAGAATAACTGAAGTCTATCCTTTGGGGATTCTGACCATTTAAGTTTTTAATAATGTTTTGCAAATCTTGGCTGGGTGGGTGGTGGAGCACACCCTTAATCCCAGCACTTGGGAGGTGGAGGCAGGGGGATCTTAGTGAATTTGAGGCCGGCCTGGTCTACAAAGAGAGTTCCAGGAAAGCCAGACTGCTGGAACTAATGGGCCAGGCAGTGTTTAAAAGAATACAGTTTCCTTGTAATTATTTCAGATGTAAAGGTAGCCGTGCGGGCGGCCGGATGCCAGGGACGCAGCCCTGCCGGTCCTTCAACAGATCCATGAGAGTGGTCTAACAGTCTCCCTCATGATGGATACAACAATAACTACGTATTAGTAGATGTCATATACACTATGTATGTAACACACAGGTCACAAACATACTTTTAAGCCTGCTATGTATAAACTGCTGAGGCAGGACATGGCCTAAAAGTTCAGTCTATCTTCCTTACTAGAGGCAGTTATCACTAGAGTCTAGAAAATCCCTAGAGGCAATAAAAACATACAGAGACTTTCAAGCCTGAAGATTACAGCAACAGTCATTCACTCCATAAAGAGGGCATGAATCCACCACAATTATAGATTTGTCCATAATACAAATAAACAAGTTATGTGATAAGAGTTAAACATCATGTTTAATGTGGAAGACTCATCACAGTCCTGAGCTAAAGGCACAACTGTCTCTAAAGGAAAGAGAGCTGAAGTGCAGGAAGTGGGAATCAGACCCAAGGAGCTCTAACGCTAAGCTCTATGTCTGCACTCCCACTTTTGAGAGGCCCCTAAGTATGTTTCAAAGATCTGATTCCCTAAACATATTTTAAACTATTTATCACAAGGTAAGCAGAAGGAAGTACAGAGAGCGACTCTATCTTAGCCAGAAGGTTAGGATGCTGATTGAAACCTGAACTGGGACCTTTTACACCTAGGGAACTGGTGCTAAGATGAGATGACAAAAAGAAACCAAGGTTCCAGGTTCTGAAACACTCATATTTAAAAATACTCCCACCACAGCAGGAGAAATACACACCCAAATGACATGTAGAATGCCAAGAGAAATATGGAAGCGAGAGAGAGAGAACCAGCCAAGCACCATAGGTGGTGCACACCTATGACCCCAGCACTCATGAGGTAGTGAGAGGAAAAGAAGGCTAGTGATAGCTATGTGACATCCTGTCTAAAAACCAAAACAGAAGCACAAAAAACAAAATCATGCAGGAAAAAAGTTGAAATAGTTATCTTGGCCTGAAGAGTAATCTATATAAAAGCTGTTACAAAATCACCATATGTTCTTTTCACCGTTAGAAATATTTTCTTCTTCTTCATTGTTTTATCCTAAACAAAACTTTGTTAGAGGACTAATAATCTTCCTTTGCCCATTGGTCTAGGTGTGCAGACCAGGCTGTCATCAGCAGCCACCTTCAGCACCCTGATTAAAGGTGTGTACCACTATGTTCAGCTTGATGCATGTGTATTTCTTGCATGCATTTTCCTACAAAACTCTCCAAGTTCAATACAATACCCAGATATGGTAGTTATAAATACTTAAATCATAGCAAATATACTAATTTACAATGAAGTAGGAATGCAAACATAAAATTCTAAAAATAAACTACAAATTTGATGAAAAAAAAATGCTAAGTCAGTCAGTCATGGTGACTCTTTACTCCAGTACTTGGGAGGCAAAAGCATGTGGATCTGAGTTGCAGGCCGACCTGCTCCATGTATCCAGTTTCAGGCCACACAGGGCTATCCACAAAAAAACAAAAAAGCAGCAGCAGCACTACTATATCTATCAATAGTTAGTTGTTCAACATAACTTTTTCCTTTTGCAATGAGCAATGCCATAGAGAAAATAAAGCTTAAAAGGGATTAGAGAGGTAACACTGAGGTTAAGATAGCATGTACTGCTCTTCCAGAGGACTAGAGTTAAAATCCCACATCAAGTGGCTGGCTCATAACCACCTAAAACTCCAGCTCCAAGGGATCTGTGGCCTTCTTCTAACCTCTGGAGGTAATGTACCTATGCGTACAAACAAAGCCACACATACATTTAAAAAACTTCTAGAGCTGAAGTGATGATTCAGCTGTTAGGAATACTTGGTACTTTTGAAGAGGACCTGGGTTCGGTTCCTAAGACCCACTGCCAATAACTCCAGTGATGTTGGATTCCCCTCTGTATGCTAGGAATATGTTTTATTACCATTGGTTAATAAAGAAGCTGCTTTGGCCTATGGCAGGGCAGAAAAAAGTCAGGCAAGGACTCTAAACAGAGAAATATAGAGAGAGTAGGTGGAGTCAACGAGAGGCCCTGTAGCTGCTGAAGGAGGAAGATGCCAGACACTTACTAGTAGGCCAGTCTTGTGGTGATACATAGATTAATAGAAATGGGTTGACTTAAGATATAAAAACTAGCTAGAAATATGCATGAACCACTGGTCAAACAGTGTTGGAATTAATATGTTTCTGTGTGATTATCCGGGTCTGAGTGGCCAGGAAAAGAACTAGCAGCCTCCGCTTACACTCCAGTGTAACCCAAGCTCTCTTCTGGCTTATATGGATAAGTAGGCATACACATACACACAAAATAATTAAAACCAATTTTTAAAATGTTTCCTGGCGCCAATGTGCACAGATTTCTTTTCTTTGCTATTTATTTCCTAGAATACAATACCAAGAAATAATACGAGAAACTGAATTTTTTGTGGAATACAGACGAAATATTACTGCATTTTTACTTTCAAGAGTTGTTTCTTAGGATTTACATTTTCGATCGGGTGTGGTGACACATTCCCTTAATCCTAGGAGGCAGAGATCTCTCTGAGTTCAAGGTCAGCCTAGGCTATAGAGTGAGTTCCAGGACTGTACAGAGAGATGCTGTCTCTCAAATTTGAAAGAAATCAAGATTTTCATTTTTTTATTCTGGTTACACATAATTCTAATAAGACGAATAATTAGTATTTGGTTTCCCAAGTATACAGTATAAAGGCAATAAAGGACAAATTATAAGAGGAAATGTCTTCTATTATCAGATATATGCAATATTAAAAACTAACAGTCAAAAATAAGGCAAGAGAAAAGGGCATTTCATTTTTAGGCAGCTTACTGGTGAGATAAAGTGAATTGGAACCATTAGAGATTATCCTGACCAGTTAGTGCCAGCCAGTCTACGAGCAAACGGTAAACAGCAGGGATCTTTACATAATCGAAACAAACAGGACAAGAGGGGCTGTGGTTAGATGGAAAAAGGGGGACAGAATCTTTGTATGAGGGCACATGCCTATAATCCTAATACTTGAGTAGCTGAGGTGGAGGTCCAGGCAATTTGGGCCGTATAGTGAAACACCGTCTCAACCCACCAAAAACGAACGGTGTGGTATGGGAAGGCAGAGGAGATAAGCATCACTCAAGGCAGAAAACAGAATAGACATTTTTATACAGCCACTACAGGCATAGTCAGTACATTTTTTTGTTTTGTTTTTGGCCATAGGGTTTTGCTCTAAAACCCAGACTGACCATGACATCTTCGTCTTCTGCCCCAGCGTCCCAAATGCTGGGATTACAAGGTTGGTTACACCTGGCTCCATTTACTTTGTTGTTATTCGTACTAGTGACTGAGCCCAGTGCTTTCCGCATGCTAGCCAGTACTCACCACTGAGCTGCATCTCCAGCACTAATGTGGATGGACTTCCACAGAAACAAGGGCAGACTGAGCTCAAGTATGGTTGTCTCATCACATCAATTTACAGCTACGCCTTATATCAGTGACATTTATTCTGCCCTAAACATGATCATGAAAACACTGTGAAGTTCAGCCTTTATGACATGAAATAATGGGCAGAGAAGGTTTCAGTAGTGTTTATCTACATGGAATCCACTAAAACACACACACCTTAGTTATTAGAAGAGTACAACTTCACTTCATGTACAAACTGCTACTGCTGAAGCCGGGAGCTTGTGAGGCCTGACAGTACCACCCATTAGTTTCTGAAGCCGGGAGCTTGAGAGGCCTGACAGTACCACCCATTAGTTTCTAGCCTGCACTGGCACCGCAGAAGACAAGGAGGCATAGCACAGCTGACCTTTATTCCTCATCTGAAAAATGTTAGAGAGCCAACAAAGCACAGCAGAAGAGAGGTATCTACTCACATGGTTGTCGAGCCCTCATTCTTATGACTTGAGGGTTTCTTTGATATTCCGAGCCTGAAGCAAACACATACAACACACATCATTTCATATACTTTCTAAGTTTACACCATGATTCAACATTATAGAATAAATCTAACAGAAGGGGGAGTAAGGAGGAAAACATCAAAAGTAAAAGATAATTTGTAGTGTACCATCAGTGAAGACAAAAGCCTTCCCATAACAAAAAATAATCACTCACTAGACAGAACTATGTTGTAGTCTTTCCTCTCTAAGACTGAGTTCGAAACTATTGGATTCTAATTACATTTAAGAAGAAAAGTTGGGCATCTACCCTGTAAGTAAACCATTGAGGCTAAAGCTGCCCTGAGTAGTGTTACATCATCGAGTAATTATTACAGTCAGTACTACTGTGTGCTGGATTTAAAAAGCTGAGGTGAGATGATTTAAAATCATACCAGAACTTTATTGCTCATTTATTTGGTTTCTTGAGATAGCATTTCTTTGTGTACCTCGGGCTATCCTAGAACTTGCTCTGTAGGCCAGACTAGCCTTGAACTTAGAGATTCACCTGCCTCTGCTGGGATTAAAGGCATGTGTCACCATGCCTGGCCATGTAAGAACTTTTTATTGGTTGAATAAGGCAGGAACAGAGCCAACTGAAATAGAGAACAGATTATCAACTACTTACTCAGCACTGACGGCTGATTCTCATGAGCTGTGAAGTCCTGACCTAAAAGAGAAAATAGGAATAAGATCAGAGAATACTCGGAAACAAAGACAAGTTGTTAATAGACATTTCACTTATCTACTAGGAGTGCTATAAAGAAACCAAATCCAACTCTTTGACCAGCAAATACAACAAATACAGTTGTGAGCTGTCCATTATGGTGCTGGGGACTGAGATCTGTCCTCTACAAGAGTAACAAGCACACTCTGGGGGTGGTGGCACACACCTTTAATCCCAGCACTTGGGAGGCAGAGGCTGGCAGATCTCTGTGAGTTCGAGGCCAGCCTGGTCTACAAGAGCTAGTTCCAAGACAGCTAGGACTATTACACAGGGAAACCCTGTCTCGAAAAACAAAACAAACCAAAAGATAAAAAACAAACAAACAAAAAAAGAGTAACAAGCACATTAAACCACTGAGTCATCTTTCCCATCTTATTTTCCCCCTCTCTAAACTTAAACGTACTTACAGCGGGACAATGACAACACACCAGCTCTAGGGTCATTACTATAAAATAACTGCTACGGCTGAAGGCACAGCTCAGTGCAGAGCACTTGCTTAGTGTGTGTGACGTTTTCATTCCCAGCACAGAAAGGAAAAAGAAAAGTCAATCTATCAACTAATGAGGCTGTGGTGGTCTGAATGAGATGTCCCCAATAAGTCCTGGGGTGGCATTTAATACCTACTCCCAGCTGGTAGCCCTGGTTAAAGAGGCTTAGGAGGTATTGGCTTTGTTGGAGGTGTGCCACTGGGGGCAGGTTTTGAGGGCTCAAAAAACTGTGTGACATTTTGTGTGTGCTCTCATGGCCTCCTGCCTGCTGCCATTTCTTTACTCAGTCGTCATGGATTTTTAAACCTCTGGGCCAGTAAGCCTCGAATAAACCCTTCCTTTTAGAACAGTAGTTCTCAATGGAGGGTTACCACTCCCAGAGGGGTCCCATATCAGATATCTTGCATATCAGATATTTACATTACAATTCCTAACAGGAGCAGAAATCTAGTTATGAAGTAGCAAGGAAAACAATTTTATGGTTGGGGGGGGGGTCACTACAACATGAGGAACTGTATTAAAGAGTCATAGCATTAGGAAGGTTGAGAACCACTGCTCTACAAGTTTTCTTGGTCATGGGCGTCTTTTTTTTTTTGGAGATGGGTTTCTCTGTGTAGCCCTGGCTGTCCTGGAACTCACTCTGTAGACCAGGATGGCCTTGAACTCAGAGAGTTCTGCCTCTGCCTCCCAACTGCTGGGATTAAAGGTGTGCGCCACCACCGCCCAGCTAAACATTACTTTTTCTGAACACAAATGCAATATATACTTGGACTGGCTAGTTTTATGTCGACTTGACACAAGCAGAGGGAACCCCAGCTGAGAAAATGCCTCCATAAGAACAGGTTGTAGAAAAGACTACGGGGCATTTTCTTAATTAGCGATTTCTAGGCAGAAGGCCCAGCCTTCTTATAGGAGCATTCCTGGGTCCTGTAAGAAAGGTTGAACAAGTCATGAGTGATGTAGATATGAATAATTTGCATTGATATGGATTTTGCTTTAGTGATTTAAATTTAAGGTCAATTTTATTATATATATGTATATTTCTGATCTTGATTAAGGTATTGTGATTGTGTAGTTCATTTAAAAATGTAATGTATAGAGGCTGTTAATGGATAATCATCTATAATAATCATGATAAAAGATAAAGAAGATATAAATATTATAACTGTAATTCTTGCTTGATAACTGTTTTGTTATATGTAATTTTACTATGTTAAAGTTAAAGCCTTTCTTTTTTGTTTAAACAGAAAAAGAGGAAATGATGGAGGAAATGATCACCTGTCTATTGTTATTTTCATTGGTTAATTAATAAACTGCTTGGCCTGATAGGGCAGAAAATTAGGTGGGTGGAATAGACAAACAGAATGCCGGGAAGAAGGGAAGTGAGGGCAGATGCGATGGAGCCAGCCGCCAGGTCAGACATGCTAAATCTTTCCCGGGTAAGACACCACCTCGTGGTGCTACACAGATTATTAGAAATGGGTTAAGCAAGATATGAGAGTTAGCCAAAAAGAGGCTAGATATAATGGGCCAGACAGTGTTTATATAAATACAGTTTGTGTGTTGTTATTTCGGGGCATAAGCTAGCCAGGAAGCTGGGAGCTAAATGGCAGGAAGCGGGCACTGCTGCTTCTACACATGAGGAGCAAGCTAGTGAGCAACACTCCTCCACAGCTTCTGTATCAGTAACTGCCTCCAGGTTCCTGACCTGCTTGAGTTCCTGGATTCTTCCCTCAATGGGCTGTGACTCTGGATAAGTAAGCCAAAGTTGCTTTGGGTTATAATATTTCTTCACTGCAACAGTATCCCTAACTAGAAAAGCCTATTTTAAAAAAAAATTGAACCACTAATACCGCTGGGCGTGATAGTGCATGCCTTTAATCCTAGCATTTGAGAGGCAGAAGCAGGCGAATCTGTGAGTTCAAGGCTAGCCTGGTCTACAGAGTAAGTTCCAGGACAGTCAAAGATACACAGAGAAATCCTGTTTTGAACCCACACCCCCCAAAAAGAAAAAGAAAACCTTAAAAAGTTAAAGTGGGTATGTGCATTGTGAAAATAAAGGGCACATATACACCTTTTCACTCTTTCATCAAACACTAATAAGTATACTTAGAAAAATGTGCTTAAGGCCATATCTAATAATACAGCTTAAGTGGACAGATTTTCATCTTATTGATAGGTAAAAAAAATGGCAACTTAGTGTTTTCAAAAAGGAATTGCAGAAGGGAAAAAATGTTCTTGACTATGCACAAGAATATTATGAGTTGATTCATAACCTAAGTACTAGAATTTGATTTAAAAATAGAAAAAGAAAAAAATACTATTATTTGCTTAACCTAAGAAACATATTCATTACAGATTATCTGCTAACTAATAATAATGATAACTAAGAAAACTGTTGGGGTGGGGCATAGCAAAGCGATACAATGCTTGCCTAAAAAGTACTAAAAACCTGGTTCTGCCGGGCGGTGGTGGAGCACACCTTTAATCCCAGCACTCAGGAGGCAGAGGCAGGCGGATCTCTGGATCTCTGTGAGTTTGAGACCAGCCTGGTCTACAAGAGCTAGTTCCAGGACAGGCTCCAAAACCACAGAGAAACCCTGTCTCGAAAAACAAAAAAAAAAAAAAAAAAAAACCTGGTTCCACCCTTAGCACCCCTAGAAGAATCAAAAGCAAATGTCACTAAGAAACACTGTTACCTGAATCTTAAAATATTACTTCCAATATTTTATCTACCATTTCAACAACAAATATGAAAAATGTCAAAGGTGTATAAGACTCACACTACTCTAACAGTGAAGAAACTAAAATCAACCAATGTTATAATGTAAGCAGACACACAACAAAGCACAGAAAACCTAGGGTTTGTCTTCCCAGGGGGAGACTTACACACTTGGACTACTCACTCTGTGATAAACAAGGTTGTTCTTGATGACTGTATGATCTGGTGACTTCATCTAAAAAACAAAGTATTTGGTGCAACAATTTATAGGAGAACAGAATATTCAATCAAAAGAGTGAATCAGATAAACTACAGAAACTAGCCTGGAGCACATAACTGCTTGGAAGGACTGTTGGCGGGGAGTAAAGATCAAGCACAAGTGCAGGCGCACAAGACCCGCAAAGACTGGGCTATCAACGTCCCATCTCAGAAGGACTGACAAGGCACTTAACAGTTGCTGGGAAAGGAAATCATGTTCCTCAGTGCTGTAACCACTGGTAAGCAACCCTTGCCCAAACAAATAACTTCTCATCCACCGTTGCTCATGCTAGCAACCCGAATAAATGTAGTGGGGCACTTAGACAAAAAAGGTAGGAAGGGGACTTGTTGGGAAAAGCAGTTTAACAGGAGGCAGAGGGAGATAAGGAGGATAATGAGGGGAATATGATCAAAGAGAATTACATATGGGTGAAAGAATAAAAATATTAAATGTTTTAATAATATGAGGGATGGGAGAGGGAAGAACAAACTGTAAAGATGTTTAAGTGTGAAAATATCAAAAAAAAAAAAAAAAAAGAAACCCATTACTTTGGATGCTAGCAAAGAAAAACAAAATAGTAAAAACAATGATAGAACCTGGGCACTGTGGTGTATCTCTTTAATGTCAGCAATACTGAGGATATGGGTAGGTTTGAGGCAGGAGGATCGATAATTTAAGGACAGCCTGTGTTTTACAGCCCCTGCTATTTATTAAAGTAAAAACAAACCTCCCTAAAAAAAAAAAAAAGAAAGAAAAAACAGGGGAAAAAAAAAAGCAAATAGAAAGAGGTGTGTACCACCACCACCCGACTTGATGAAGTATACTTAAAGGCAAGTTCACATGCACTATTACAGATTGCCATACTTAAACAACAAGGTCCCTGTGATGTCTAACATGGTTGAGAACCTGACCGAAAAAGACAAAGTAATTATCTAATACTAAAAGTTCCTAAAACTGACCAAAACTCCTGAGACTGTTGAATACCAATATGATCAATTTCTCAAAATTCAAAACAGGCAGTAGCTCTTGAGCATAAAAATATCTTTGCATAACTATGCCAGCAGGCTAAAAGTGCTCTGTTCAGCTATGTGTTACATGGCACATCGCTAACAACATGCATACAATGGAAGAGCAATTACAATGTACTAAAAGTACAACTTTAAAAAATGATTTTAGCTGGGTGGTGGTGGTGCACGCCTTTAATCCCAGCACTCCAGAGTCAGAGGCAGACGGATCTCTATGAGTTCGAGGCCAGTCTCATCTACAAAGGGAGTTCCAGGACAGGCTCCAAAGTTATAGAGAAACCCTGTCTCAAAACAAAAACAAAAACAAAAACAAAAAATGATTTTTAAAAAAATTCAAAGTCTTAAAAAATATTTAAAACTCTATTTTAACTAAAAGACAGTTCTGTGAGAAGAGTCACATGGAAAAAGCCTCCTTACCGCTAGACTCAGCATAGTTCCTGGATTTGACCCTGACAGTGACGTCACTGTAAGAGCTCTTGGGGACATCTTCAGTTTCTCCTAGAAGGAAGCAGACAATGCATTAGTACAGTCTTTATGCTAATGTTCAAAAGATCTGCATTAAACACAGGTTAGCGTTAAAGCTTCTGAGTTTCCAGTATACAGCTGCTGCCTGTTTAATGTATTTTCTATGGGGAATAACAAAGTTCTAAATGAGCTACAGGTAAGCTTATGTATTTGATGTTCTTTTAGCACATAATTTTCTAAACAAATAATGTCTAAAAATTACACAACAAAGCTTTAATTCAGAGTCCAAAATGAATAGATGATCAAAAAATAATGGGAATTTTTTAGCTTACAGAAAGAAATTATATAGTAAACTGGTTGTGTAATTTCAGACATGCTGGCCCATCAGTTTTTTTTCCAATGGGTAACATACCTGCACTCAGAAACATTTCAATACCCAAATTACTAATTTCAAATTATATTGGCTTAAAAATGAACTAAATTAGATGGGTGGTGGTGGCACACACCTTTAATCCTAGAATTTGAGAGGAACAGATGGGTGGATCTCTGTGAGTTCAAGGCCAGCCTGGTCTAAAGGACAGCATGGACTGTCACACAGAGAAGTCCTATTTTGAAAAAAAAAAAAAAATCAAAAACAAAAAAAATGAGATAAATTTATGCTTATATTTTTCATAAACTAGTCATAAAAATTTCAGAAAGTGATTGTTTTAATAACACAAAGACAAACATGCTAGAAGTGGAAAATATTAGCTTTCCTTAAAAGCCATGGAAAGGCTTTCCTTACTCATTCTATCCAAACTTATCCTGGTTTACCTTAGCAGTTCACTGGTGGGTTTCCTAGTTTGTTTAAATACCTATCAAAACTGCTTCCAATATAAAAAAAATGACAATATATTACATGATAGTTAAAAAGAAATTACCTTCTTCAGAGATATAGACCTGTTGGATATTGGCAGTTTCTAGAAGAGAAAGACATAAAGTATGTAACAACAGAAACTAAAGCTTAGGAATAAATAAGAGCATATAACTAAGGAAAAATCAATACAAAATATAAAACCTTTTTATTCTGTAAAATGACTAAAAATCTATCATTTCCTTCTGACTGTTTCAGAAACAAATCCGATATAAAATCATATTATAAATAATTGCTTTTATTAAAACATTAATCATATGTGTTTGTGTCACATGTATGCAGAAACCAAGTGAGTTGATTCCCCTGGAGCTGGCATTTTTAAGCCACCTGACACAATGCTGGAAAGTGAACTCTGGTCTTCTGCAAAAGCAGTAATCGTTCTTAACAACTAATCCATTTCTCTAGCATCAAATAAAGGGTATCCTTTGTTTTTTTTTTTTTTTTTGATAGGACCTTACTGTATAGTCTTGACTGGCCTAGAACTCACTATATAGTCCAGGCTAGCCTTGAACTCACCTGCCTCTGAAGTGTGAGGGTTTTAAGGTCTACTGGGAGAGCAAGCACTCAACTTCAGAGCCAATCTCTCTAGTCCCAAGGGTTTTAGTTTTTGTTGTTTTTGCAATAGAATTTTAGATAGCTCAGATAACCTCAAATATGCTATGTAGCTAAGGTTGGCTTTGAACTTCTCATTCTACTACATATATCTTGGATGCTGGTATTACAGGTATATAGAACTACACCTAGCTAGAAATAAAGTATACTTTTTCCTTTTATAGGCCTGTTTGATGGGGAAAGCCTTTAAGAGGTGGAACCTAGTTTAGGCGTGGCTTTCTGGGACCAGGAAATAAAAACCTGTGCACCACCCAGGTGCACTCTCTGTGTAGCTTCCCCTATGGTCAAACAGAGCCTGGATCATCCGGTCCTGTAGTGTGAGTTTTCGCCTTATAATAGATAAAATATATTTGTCTGTCTTTAAGCTAACCCAGTTATTTCCATATCTAGATAACATCAACACCTGTTTGCACTGTGTGAAGAAAACATTAAATTGTACACTGACAAATATTCTAGGTTCCTACAGGTACCACAAATTTACATATTTTAATTCTATTTGCCAGACTCCTCCTACTTCCTTCAAAAGCCTAACCAGCTGAAGGAACAAACACATCCTTTGTGAACTGGTGTAACAAAGAGGAAGTATGAAAAGAAAAGAAATCCCCCTTTTTAGGTCTGGTATTGGCGCACACCTTTAATCCCAGCAAGATCTCTGTGAGTTCAAGGCCAGCCTGGTCTACAAGAGCTAGTTCCAGGACAGGCTCCAAAGCTACAGAGAAACCCTGTCTCAAAAAACCAAAAAAAAAAAAAAAAAAAAAAAAAAAAAAAAGAAAAAGAAATCCTCCTTTTTCAGTTCCAGTAGGGTAATGAACATTGCTGTTGTTCAGAAATGGGAAATCTAAATTTAAACAACCAAACACATCAATCAAACTTAAGACTCAGGGTCTGTACATGCCCTATTATGAAAGATTTGTTATAAGTTGTTTCTTTTTTCTTTGAGACAGTTTGTTTTTTTCAGTAAAGGAAGTTACACCCAAATATAAGCATAACTGGGTGAAAATACTGAACAACCCTGTAGAGGATTAGGATGACTCGGACTTTAATGAAGCCAGGAGAACATTTCTTCTCAGCTTTTCTGGCCATCTGCTTTTAAAAAGGGCACAAGAGCATTTGGCATCACAACAGTCATTTTTGCCCAACCCAACAGGCTCCGCGAAAGTGTGAGTGTGCTAAGTACTGTAACCGCGCACATTAGTCACTGTTCCTTCCGTCTGTGTGGTCTAGTACAAGGCAGAGAACTCTACTGATACATACCTTCTTCAACCTTGCCTCAAGTCTGCGACTGACTCCTGCAATACTTCCTGTAGTCAGTGTGGTTTATTTCAACACAGCTAAGGCTGACTTGTCTTTAAGTTTCTTTCTGCTTTTTACCTTGGAAATACGGGTCGGCCATAGCTGCAATTCTCCAATAAACTTTGTTTTAGAGTTGGTTTTCATGTTATTCATTTTAGGCCGACAGGTGAAAAGTATGATTTCAGAAAGTGATTCTAAACATTACATTATGAATTTGGAATTTTTTTTACATAAATTTAGCTAGATTAGTATAATATTATTCAAAGTTTGAGTTCTACTGAAAATAATGGCAAGTATAAATCAGTGTCTAAAATGTATTTATCAACATTTTTGCTAGAAAACAGACAACCAACCCCTCAAAGAAACTTTCCAATAACACCACACTTCTCTCAGAATGCTAAAAGCTGGCACAATACATGCTGTGGATGAGGTGCCAGGATTGCTCCTTCATTTCTTTTTTAAAGTAGTAAAATGCAAAGTTGCTGGATGTGGAGCTACACAACTGTGATTCCAGCACTCAGCAGTGGCTAAAGCACAAGACTCACTGGTGAGGGTAAGCCAGCCTAGCTCAAAACTCCTCTCCTCGCCTCTCCTCTCCTCGCCCCTCCCCGCCCCTCCCCCCCCCTCCCCCCCCCCCCCCCCCCTCCCCCCCCCCCCCCCCCCCCCCCCCCCCCCCCCCCCCCCCCCCCCCCCCCCCCCCCCCCCCCCCCCCCCCCCCCCCCCCCCCCCCCCCCCCCCCCCCCCCCCCCCCCTCTCTCTCTCTTTCTTCCATGCACATGCACACACACACATCAGGGGTGGAAAAATAATTAAAATATTACTTTCATTCGAAATTACAGGAATGGTTTCACTTTTTAAAGTCTTTTACCCTTTAATTTTTTATTTATTAGTTTAAAATTTAAAATTATATTTGTTGAGTGTGTTTGTGTTGTGATTGGAGGACAAGTTGCAGAAGAAACCATCATGTGAGCTCCTGGGACTGAACTCAGGTGGTTATGATTGGCAGCAAGTGCCAGTACCCCCTGAACCTTCTCTCTGCCCTCTTAAGTTTTTCCTTTCTTTTTCTCTTTGAGTCTGCCTCTGACTCTTGATTGCTAGGATTAAAGGTATGTACTAGCATGCTCAGCTTTCAAATTTTATTTTCAAATCACAAGACTATTATCGTATTTTACTCTTTGTATAGCAGTTTTAATTTGTATAATTATTCAGATAGCACGCATGAGCCACCACACCTGTCTTACTCTATAAATTATTTACTATACAAAAACTTCTTTTCTATACAAAAACTTTTATAAAGATTGAACTGAAACCAGGTGCAGTGAACATGCCTGTAACCCAGGATCTGGAGGCAGAGGCAGGAAGATTACAAGCTCTAAGTCAAGCAGTGATAGAGGCTGTGTCACTAAGTAAAAGACTAAACTGATTTTTAATCTGTAATAATGAAAAAAAGGGGTACATTGAATACTTATAGTTATATTTTTCTTTTCAATTTAATGACAGGGTCTAGCTATATAACACAGACTAGCTTCAAACTCATAATTCACTTGTCTCTTTCTTCCTTGATTATAGGTGAAAATTGTTTACCTATTGTCTGTCTGAAGAGCTTTTCTTTAGAATTATTTTTTTCTTTTTAATTTTGGCCTGCTTTAATTCTCCTGATATTGTTTCAGTTTTCCATGTAGTGAATGAGTATTTTTTGTGTTTAGAGATCTGAAACCAGATGTGTGACTGAATATTGGTAATTTTAAATGTCATGCTACGTATCCCCAGCTGAAACTCATCCTCATTCCTCCTTGGCTCTCTGAGTTCTGGAGTGCAGGAATCACTGCTACACCCAGTGCTATTGTTTCCCGCCCCCAATTTTATTTTGTGAAAAGATGATGCAATAACATGCAAACTGGTTATTCTTTTTTTGTTTGTTTTGTTTTTTGAGACAGGGTTTCTCTGGAGCTTCAGAACTAGCTCTTGTAGACCAGGTTGGCCTCGAACTCACATAGTTTACCTGCCTTTGCCTCCCAAGTGCTGGGGTTAAAGGCATATACCACAACAGCCCAGCTTTAGAATCCTATTAACGTTACTAACATCCTTAAATATTCATCAATAGCATTCAAGACACAGTTGATAATTGGCTATACAAGACTATTTTGATCTCATCATTGGGCTGACAAGATGGCTCAGCCGCCACCAAGTACTAAGACCTGAATTCCTTTCTTGTAACCCCAATAATGGAAGGAAAATAAAGAAAAAATGGCTGGGCAGTGGTAGCACATGCCTTTAATCCCAGCACTCGGGAGGCATAGGCAGGCGGATCTCTGTGAGTTCGAGACCAGCCTGGTCTACATGAGCTAGTTCCAGGACAGACTCCAAAACCACAGAGAAACCCTGTCTCGAAAAACAAAAAAAACAAAAAAACAAAAAAACAAANAAAAAAAAAAAAAAAAAAAAAAAAAAAAAAAAAAAAAAGGAAAGAAAAATAGAAAAAGAAAAAAGAAAAAATGACTCCAACAAGTTGTCCTCTGACCTCTACACACTCAGAGACAGACAGACACACAGCAATCCTTATTGAGACTGAGAACATCATTCTACACATTACTCAAGGCCTCTAACGAAGAGACCACTAACGTAGTTGCTCTCACCAATATCAAGGACTTGTAGCTCCTTCAACACATGGTCTGTAAAGGCAAATTAGTGAGGTCCACAGGCAGTCTGCAGTATCTGCAAGTCTTTCCTGCCCTTGCCTGCTATTTGTATTTCAAATTTCAATCAAATGCCTTTCCTGCTTAAAAAGCTGAACCTCTCCATGCAGGGCACTTTCCCTCCATATTCACCACAAACTGTTAGAACAACTTACAGTTACAACTACTTTTCGTTTGAGTTAGTAGCCCAGGCTGACCTCAAATTCACAGTCCTGCCCAGCCTCCTGAGTGTTGAGATTCCAGTAACTTTTAATTGTGTTTTTTCTTTTTATTACCTAACATATTCTGAGATTACAAAAAGAAAGAAAAAAACCTCACAGCCCTTTATTAGCGTTGAGGTCAGTCATTGACGTAGGAAGTGGGTAAAAAGATGTCTGTTCACACATAGCAACGTAAGAAAAACAGTCGGAGCCTGTTGCTCACTATTTAAACATTTCATCTCTCGTCTTTCTTTTTTTGGAGACAGGATTATAGGGTCTTGCTGTCCTCCTACTTCTGATCCTTCTCTATCAAGTCTTCAAAGTGCTAAGGCTATATAGTTGTGTGTCTGGCTTGTTTTCATCTTTTAATGGAAGCTACAAGAATATACAGCCCGGGCTAGAGAGATGGCTCAGTAGTTAGAGCATTGGCTACTCCTCTAGAGGACCAGGGTTCAATTCCCAGCCCCCACAGGGTGACTCACAACCACATGTAACTCTAGTTCCAGATCTGATGCCTTCTTCTGACCTCCATGGGCACCAGACACATACACATACATGCTGGCAAACATTCATATACATAAAATAAAAAAATCTTAAAAGAGGCTATATAATTAAATACAATCTGACGATGAATCAATAGCATCTATGACTTATGTCCTGCTTTGATTTCACTTCCTGCTAATTCAGCTTCCTTTATTTTTTTTTTCTTTTAAAAGACAGTCTTACTCTGTAGTCCATGCAGACCTAGAACTCTAATGTAGCCCAGACTAGCCATCAACTTGTGGCAATCCTGTTTTACCACTGCCCCCTACTTACCCCAGGTGCTACGATCACTACAGTCACGTCCCATGTTAAATAGATGCACGTGTTAAATAAATTATGCCCAGTTAAATAGAGAATTTAAGAAACTCTCATGGAAGTTGGGCATGGCGGCAAAGTATGTAATCCTAGACTTGGACAGTGAAGATAGGAAGATCATGAGTTCTAAGTCATTCTTGGCTACACAGTGAATTTGAGGCTAGCCTGGATTAAATGAGGCTCTGACTCTACTAAAAATAAAAATCAAAAAGGAAACTTTTGTAAGTAAAAGCACATATGATACAGTATATATTGCAAAGTTCGTTTTAGCATCCAGAAACCGGATTTTGAAGTATTCTGTAAAACTTAGACCAGGCCTAGGTAAACATGTTTACTAGAGGAAGTTGTAACTATGCACTTATAAAGGAAAATTTTTTAAAATTTGTCTTTAAATTTTAATGAATTCCAACTGCACCCAATGTAGCTTCACGTAAAGCTAAGATGGCTTTGAACTCCTGGTCCTCTTGCTTTTTCTTGCTAAGTACTGGGACTAAGGCATGAGCCAACAGGCCCATTTAAAGCTACAGATTTTACTGTTTTGTTATTTCAGCTAGGAAAGCTAGCTGTGGAGCATCCAGGATCCATCTGCCTCCAATACACAGCAGTTAGGGTTACAAGCACTGAAGCCATGCCTGTCTTTTTATGTAAGTACTAGGAATTTGAATTCCATACTTCATGTATGCAAGAATCATGCTTACCCCTGAACCACATCCCTAGATCCCTAAAACCAGATGTTAAAATCTCATATTCTATGCCAGAAGCAAAGGCCTGTATTTTGAGATCTGCATTTTGCTTACAGCCATCTTAAGCTCACAAGTTAAGAAAGATATTTACCTCTATCCCCTCTGCAGGGTCTAGGAAATTAACTTAGCATCTTATCTCCTAACAGAGACCTGCAGGCAGGCTCCGGAACCTATTAGCATTTTCCTTGGTTAGTCAACAATTACAGACCCTCAGTATTTACTTATCAGCTAGGGGTGTCTCAGGACCTGAATTCCAGCAGACCTGAGTTTCCTGACACCCTTCCCTTCCCCCCTTTGCCCGTTTGCTATATAACAGCTTCTGAGAAAGAATAAATGGAACGGCTTGATCAGAAATCCTGTCTTGCCGTCTTTTCTCCTGTCTCTCCACTAGGTTTATCAGGGACCCCTGTTCGTATCCCGCGGGTCAGGATAATTCTATATCAAGTCAAACACTATAAAGAATTTAAATTAGTGAAACAACAACAAAAAGGCAAAGGGCACGACTTTTAGGAAACAAAAACAAATTGAGTTTCTGAATCTAGGGAAATAAAATACCTTAGCTGACATTTCTTTTCTCCTCACAGTATATAAATTTTACAAAGGCTAATAGAAAGTACCTTACTGATGTGGGAGTGTCATATATCAATCTGTTGATTTCATTGGTTAAGTTATAATAAACCAACTGCTTGGCCTCAGCTTAGAACATAGATGGGAGGAGTAAACAGAATAGAATTCTGGGCGGAAGAGGAAGTGATGTCAGACTCTGCTCTGCTTCCAGAGGGACCGGACAGCTCTGCTCTCTGGAGCAGAGACACCATGATGGAAGGAGGCTAGAATCTTCCCGGTAAGCGCACCTTGGGGTGCTTACACACATCATTAGAAATGGGCTAGTCCAGGTGCGAGAATTAGCCTGTAAGGGTTAGAGTTCATGGGCCAAGCAGTTCTTAAATGAATACAGTTTGTGTGTTGTTATTTCGGGCATGAGCTAGCCAAGCGGCCGGGGTGTTGGGGACGCAGCCCCGCCGCCGCTCATATTTCAACACCTTACTTTGTTAGGTCTGGTGGCACACATCTGTAATTCAAGCACTTGGGAGATGAAGGCAGGAGGATCAAGAGTTCCAGACTATCCTCAGCTACATAGCTGAGACCAGTCACAATACATGAAACCTTGTTTCAGAAAACAAATCAAAACCAAAACAACAATAGCAACAAAAACAGAACAAGACACACAGGAGGAATGAGAGGATGAGGCTCAGTGGTAGAAAGCGTGTCAAGCATGTGTGAGGCCATGGTTCAATCCTTAGCACCACACAAAAGTACTTTATTCTGACGTGTTCTCATGGGAGTTACGTAATAAATAAGACATAATTTTAGCCAGAGTAAAACCTAAGGAATTACAGTAGGCCATCGTTTCAGGGACACTGCCTCAAAAGCTGAGATAATGAACAAAGTAATAGTCTTACTAAGAACATCTAAGAATTAGAGAAAAGCAAACCTATTTCATTCATTCTAGTATTTCCATTTGTTTTGTACGTTGAATCTGTAAGAAAGACAGCAAGAAAATGATTAGAACCGAAAAGGAAAAGCAGCATACAGTTCCTTAACCACAAGCTCAGATGAGACCTTATCCTCTCTTAAAGGCAGCAACAGAGATCTAATAGAAAGGACCAATAAGCAGAAAAGAAAGTGCAAGCAGATTGTATGGAGCAACCATTTAAGGACTTCCAAAGTTTTAGTCAAGAGAAAATTCGTTGAGGCCCCAACATTTTATAGCTCCGTGCTATAAAGCCTTAGTCTTGAGTTTTTTGTTAGTAATATACTGAGAAAACTAAAAAGTCCTTGACCTTAATTTGAAAGTATCATGCAAGCACAAAAGAACCACAGCACCACATAAGAAATAATCTTGTAAAAACAACTCAGAAGCCTTTTATATACATCAATATGGAAAGATATCTTGACACATGTGAAATGAGGTGGAAACAAGCAGCAGGAAGAACAGAATATCCACTGATCCAAGCTGTATGTTTAAAAAGGAAGACCGCAGTAGATACAGCTCTGGTAGAAAGCTTGCCTAGCATGTGCAAGGCTATGGGCTCAAGCCTCAGCCCTGTTAAAAGATGCAGGTGAAAATAACTATCTCTCCTGATGTTAAGGCAGGGTGGACAACAAAGGATGCAGAAAGACTTCATTCGTTTTACCTACCTTAGGCTGGCCTTAAACTCTCTGTAGCTGCAGGGCGGTGTTGGCACATGCCTTTAATCCCAGCACTCAGGAGGCAGAGGCAGGCGGATCTCTGTAAATGTAAACTACAAGAGCTAGTTCCAGGACAGGCTCCAAAGCTACAGAGAAACCCTGTCTTGAAAAACAAAACAAACAACAACAACAAAAAACCTCTCTGTAGCCAAGATGATCTTGGTTTCCTGATCCCCCTGCCTCTGTCTCCAAAGTTCTAGGATTAAAGTGTACACCACCATGCCTGGCCAAATTTTGATCCACAAGAATAAACGTCTCGTCTAGAAGTTACACTGTCTTTATAAGAAAGAGTTAAATCAACAGAGTGATCTCTTACCAGATCTTGGGCTTCTTAGTGGGGGTCTGCATAAGTTACTTAAAGGACCTTGAGGCATCACAGGTGCAGGGAGAGAAAAATATGTGAAACGTAAGATTTAGTATGCAATCATTCTCATTTGGTCAAGGAGGTTTCCCAAACTTTTATTATGATTGAGAACTAAAGGCAAATTTCCCTATGGGATGGCCTTCTGGGAACTACTAACAGTAAACTAGAGTAAATTTACCTCCTATATAAAATATATGGTCTTGAAGAAATGTAGTTTTTTCAGCTTGTATTAGGCCTTGAGTTCAATCCTCAGCATGCCAAAGTAGGGTGGGGTGGAGACCAAAACATGCATTACATCATCAACTTGATTGTCTATTCCATGTGCGAGATTGGCCTCTGCTTATTTTGGAGACAGGTTTCACTTAGTAGCATAGGCAGGCTTTATACTGGAGGAACTCTCCTGCCTTGGCCTTTCAAGTGTTGGCATCACAGGCATGTGCTATCACACTTCGTGATATATACTTGTGATATATTTTTAGAGTTAACATAGTCTGTTCAACTATTTAATCAAGTATATGACCAGGAATTGGATAGACTAATTTTAAGTAAAATTTTAAGCTAGCCATATTTCATTTCAGATGGCCTTAGTTCAAAGGTAAAGGGTTTGTGATAAAGTCATTTGTATAAAGATACATTTGCTTAGGCCAGTGGGATGGCTCCATGGGTAAAGGCACTTGCTGCCAAATCTAACAATCTGAATTCAATCCCCACGACTCATATAGAGATAGAAGGGAATCTACTTCATAAGGTTTTTCTCTGACCTTCACAAGTGCCCAGTGGCACCTACACACATCACAGACACACAAGAATTAAAAACAAAACAAAAAAAAACCTTCAGTAAACTATTAAACATGACATGTAAACTATTTCCCTTTCTGAAATCATACTATGTAATTATGGCATGTTATCATAAATTACCAGGAAATTGGCAGTATCTTTTCTCTTCTGGGTGGTGCATAAAGCAACGATGTGGGACCTTACTACTGACAGCTTGGGTTTAACGAAGCATAGGAATAAGCTGACAGCACCGAAACTCACTGTGCCAGGGTTTTAGCATGCAGAAACAGGAGAAGGCACTGGGACAGAACCATTTGACACTTTATGAGTTACTACCTGAGAGTGAAATTAAGGGTGTGGGGAATATGAAAAGGTTTCAGGTAGACAAACGTGAGCCTAAATTTTAGTTTAGTCACATACCATGCGATTGTCGAGAAGAATCTTAGGTACTCGGAGCTCTAGCTTTCTCATTTACTAAGGGGGAGAATACTTCCCTGCAAGGTTGTGAAGATTAACAAATACAAAGCAGCTGATAGTTGAACTCAATCAATGGTTCACGCTTGTCTGTCCTTGGAAATACCACTTGGCTTAATTTAGAAAACTGGTAAAGGCTCACAAAACTCTCAAGTGTGAGTTGTAATTCTTGGTGAGCCCTTGACAGGTAAAGAGAAAAACAAAAAATTATTCTTACTTGAAGTCTCTGGTGTTCTGACAGTTTTCTTTGGGGTTGTTTGGTTTGTAACAATTTGGGAAGAAGATTCATCCTCTGTAGAAAGGACAAGAGATAAAACACGTTAGACAATCTGGGAGAAATCAAGGCACAGAGTCTGCACATTTAACAGAATAGATGCAAGTACTTAATTTCTCTAGTTTCAGAACTGGAAATTGAACTAGTCAGAACTCTTATGAAGACATAGTGTAATGAGGTCTAGAGAGAGGGCCCAGTAGTTAAGAGCATTTGCTACTCTGTCAGAGGACTGGAGGATCCTAGTACACCCGTCCAAGTAACGTCAGTTCCAACAGACCTGTTATCTTCTGGCTTCCAAGAAAGAGTACCTGCTCACAAGTGTGAATATACTCACACAGATACACGCAAATGCCCAGGCACACATATAAGTAAAACAAAATATAAACTATTAATTGTTGCTTTACAACAAAAATGTTACTTTAGAAAAAAAAGAGACAGGCAGATCTCTGTGAGTTCAAGGCCAGCCTGTGGTCTACAGAGTTAGTTCCAGGTTAGCCTCCAAAGCTACAGAGAAACCCTGTCCTGAAAAACTAAAAAAAGAAAAACAAAACAAAACAAAACAAAAAACCCCACAAAAAAAACAAAATTAAAACAAACAAAAAGCAAAACCACACAAGCCAGGCGGTGGTGGTACACGCCTTTAATCCCAGCACTAGGTGCTGCCTGGTCAACAAAATGAGTTCCAGGACATCTCCAAAGCTACAAAGAAACCTTGTCTCAAAAATAAAAGAAAAAAAAATTCAAAATTGATGAGGATTAAGCAGGTAGAAGAAATGTTTAAATCCTTTAAAAATGTCCCAAAAGGTAAAATTTATTTAAGTACAGGAGGCTTTTAGGGAGAGTCAATAAAAAGCAATACAGTTACATTGCCTCCCATGTGCAAAGAACTGTCTCAGATTTTGAGATAGAATTAAACCAAGTACCTAAATTACTATGAGGCATACATGACAGGTTCCTGTTTTTCAAGAAGTTTATCATTTAAAAGAAACACTACTAACATATATATGAAAGTGTCATGTTGCATTCACAAGGACGTACACATCTGTAGCATAAATAGCTCCAAAATCAACAGGTCTTCAAGTGTGTCAGGATTTTAGGGGCAAGGAGGTTAAACCTGCGAACCGTTTATTGTGCTCCAAGCTGAATATTCACTACTTTTATAGATCTATCAATGTCTACTACCAGCTATGTCATTCCATTGTGACACAAACTCTCCAAGTTTTACCTCACAGGTGATTTTCATGGGACTTACTGGGAACCACTTGTGACAACTCAGTTATATCTGACATCAGGGTGTGGAAGGATGTCTTTAAGGAAATTTGATTCACTTGTGACTTAACTAAAACTACAGTACACACACTGTCGGCAGTTGGGGGTTCACTTAGAAGAAGCTTCCCTAATTAAAAGAACTTTGTTTTATTTCGGTACTTTGTCGGTCTTGATTTGTTTAGGTACTTGAGGTTACAGGGATGGCCTTCAAACGGGGGCGGGGTGGGTAGAGACCACCACACTTGGAGTAAAGTCACAAACCAATTCATTAAGGTCGGCTATTCTTCGTAGCATCAGCCTAGAAAACATCTCTTTTCCCCAGTTTTGCCGGGAAGAGAAATAGACTGGAAAGTTAACTTAAAACCATGATTCTCAGCTTGGGACTCGGTGACCCCGAGATTAAAAAAACAAAAAACAAACAAACAAACAAAAAAGGAAATGGAAGTGTGGAAGTGGCTTCGATAGAAGCCTTCGCAGAGGGGACGGAAACGAAACCGAACCTAAAGTAATCTTGGATTCCCGACAATGGCTTAATCGCCGACGCGAGCAAAAGCCAGCAGAAAGAGGCGACCTACACTCCCCTAAAGTGATGCCCAGCGACAGGGCAGAGCTCCCCGTATCCGCTCCGCTCGCTCCGCACCACCAGCTTTCCCCGGGTCAGTGCGTCCCTCCCTCCTGAGGGTCCGGGTGGACTCAGGCCGGGAGTGCGCGCCCAAAGGGCCCGCGGCCACCCCTAGCTAGTCGACGGGGACGGACTCCACGGGGGCGCTCCTCCCGCCGGCCCTGCCCGTGTCCGCCACTGCGCACGCCCGGGAGCTGGCAGCTGAGACTGTTATCTCCGCCGTCCTCACCTGAGGACTCAGAGTCCCGGAACCCTCGCCTGCTCGTAGTCGGAGACGCCTGCGGCTGAGGCTGCTGTGAGAACTGCTCAACCCGGGCCGCCCTCCGCGTCTTCATCTCCTCGGCTTCCTGGGGTCCCCGCCGCCTCCGTGGTCGAGAGCGAAGATTGTAAGCGCTTTCTCTCACTTCCTCTTTCGCAGAATCCGGCCGGAACTTTTCTGGCGGGGTTCGTCTTCTCCCCGGGGACCTTTCTTTGGCCACCCGGGGCTCGAAGTCGCCGTACACTTCTGGCGGCTCTTCTGAAAACCTCACTTCCCGTCGTCCGGGGCGCGACGGATGCGTTCCGTACGCAGGCGCGTCACTGCTGTCGCCATTTTGAGGGGCGAGCCTCCGCCTTAGTTCCCGGATGGGGGCTCTGGGCGTAACGTCGATGGCCCATCCTTCCCCCAGCCCCTCGGTCCGCCTCCTCTCTCCCTCCATAATTGTTTACGTAGCTGTTAGTCCGTTGTGGGGTTGGCTTCGCCGCGGGTAGAATCCCCTGCAGGTGGTGGCGATGGCCTCGGGGAGGTTGTCGTAGTGGTCAGGGAGGTAGTTGAGAGTCGCCGGGGCCGCCACCTGCGTCGTCGCTAGTGTGCCACAAACCAGCCTCTGGGCCCATGGTGTGTCCTGCGGGCTGTGGGAGAGGCAGTGCCCGAGCTGGGTCAGCTGCTGTGGGTCACTCCCGCCTCCTGGCTCGAGACACCAAAGAGGAGGAGAAGGCGGAGGAGGACGTCGCTGTCCTTGGCCTTGAGGGAGGGAAAGGTGGGGGTGACGAGGAGGTGGTGGAACAGGTGGCCCGTGCCAGCTGTTGGTGTCCCGTTGCCCCCCCCCGTCCCCCCAGGGGGCGCTCGCTGGTCCCGGGTCCCAGAGGCTCTGCGAAAGGGCGAGTTTCCCTTGATCCCAAGCTGCTGCGTAGTTTCCCAGCTACTCCTCCGAAGTCCCTAGGAGGAGGAATGATCGGAGATATTTTTGCATGTCATCTTACAGCGAAAATGATAGTGTTAAGCACCCCCAGTTTAAACTTTTAACTCACTCACGGGCCCTTTAAAATAGTGTTGAGTCATACTCGTTAGGTGGATTTCCATTTTTGAAGCGTAGCCTAATTTAAACCTTATTCCTGAAGTTTGACATGGAAGTTCTGTTCCAGCAGCACGGTTGGGAAGACTGAATGCTGCCTTAGGCACAGGTACCGGAATAAAAGCAGTAGTACGATTTAGACGGCCATTTTACTTCGATTCTGGATGTGGTATTTCTGCCTTTCATTTATTAGAGTTTCTGCATTCACAGACTATGAAAACATGGACAAAACTGTCTCAATTCTGTATACCATATTTACACGTATAATCCAGAGGTTTATAACTAAATTTAGACAAACTGAAGGAAGGTCATCTTACTTGTAAATCCGAGTTACTATTAAGAGAAATTCTGCTACACTCAAATACATTGCATGTCTCCTTGGAGAACTTTCTATGATATAAATGAATAGACCCCCCCCCCCCCACTCCCGCAAGTGCTGGGGACTGAACTTGGGGCCTCAAGCTTACTAGGCAAGTTGATTACCAATAAGCTGTATCCTTAGTCCTAAAGGAATCAATTTTAAGTTTTTGTTTGGAAGCCAATTAACAATGGTTTTGAAAAAATTGTGTTTCCTTTTACAGTATTTTAAATAATGAGAATTAGATGATTTAGAGTCAGGCAGGAAATCCTTCTTGGAGCTTTGTTTAGCAGATATACGAAGAAATACAGCCAGAGAAATTAGACTGTCCCCAAGCTCACAGAGATCTGCCTGCCTTTGAACCCCCAAGTGCTAGGAACTAAATAAAGGTGTGGCTCACCATACCCAACCCACATCTTTTAAAAAAAAAAATCTGTTTAAGGAAAAACGAAAGTGATACTTATTCATGGCAGGCTGGATGATTTGTGAGACTTTTTTTTTTTTTAAATATCAGGCTTGTGTGTTTTCAGTAATGCTTTCTTTGTAAATTTACACAATTAACAATCATAAAAATTCTTTCATACATGTACAGCATTGAAAGGATGTAAATTTTATAGTATTAATATTCTAAGCTCATATTATGCACTGTGTGTGTGTGTGTGTGTGTGTGTGTGTGTTAAGAGTCTCTTTAAAACATTTACCACAACAGATGACTAAGGAAACATGGGTGCTGGCTTGTAAAACTCTGGTTTGGAGGATGCATTGAAAAAGAAAGTGAAGAGGTTTTATAATTAGTCAATCAGAGAAAATGAGAGGTTACAAAGATTATTGGATAATTGGCATGTATGTTATTTTAAAATAAAAACTGCTTATAAACGGCTTATGAATAGCTTTTTAAAAGAAAAAATGAGAATGTTAGTTTAGAGGCAGGTAGCGTTAGCATTAACATTAACAGATATTTGCTTAGGATTTTCCTTCTTGTTTAGGTTATAGGAATGAATCATCTTAACTCTGGCTTCTGCCACCCACTCCTAGCAACTCTGCAAACACCAAACTTTGATTACTGTCAGTTAAAGCCAAATTCTTGTCAAACCAGATATTCTGCTATAGATGTTTTCCAATCTCTTTTGGGCCACCTTGCATACTAAAAGAGATAGCATTATAAACAGTAGACTTCATTTCCAGTAATATAAGAGATTTTTCTGGGCTATCAGTGTGGCAATATGAGCTTTGAACTTTAAACAGTTTCTTTGGGAATTTGGGAAATGTGGAAAAATGAAGAGTTTTACTGAGAGAATTTGCCATATGTTAGGGAATATAGATACACAAAAGGTGAAATTGAAATCAATGACTGGCAGTAACTCATGTGTAGCTAACAGCTGTATCTAGAAATCATGTGCGCTTTATGTTGACTTTCTAAAGCAACTTTTTTTGGTTTTTCGAGACAAGGTTTCTCTGTAGTTTTAGAGCCTGACCTGGAACTAGTTCTTTTTTCTGTCCTGGAACTAGCTCTCTAGACCAGGCTGGTCTCAAACTCACAAAGATCCGCCTGCCTCTGCCTTCCCAGTGCTTGGATTAAAGGTGTGCGCCACCACCACCCGGCTGCTAAATTAAGCAACTTTTAAGTGAAAAAAAATTGTGCATAGGTGTTTTGCCTGCATGTATGCCTGTGTACCTGTGTGTGCCTGGTGCCCATGAAAGCCAGAGGAGAGCATTTTATCCCCTGGAATTGGAGTTACTTACAGTCAGTTGCTAGCCACTGTTTGGGTGGCTCCATCCTCTGGAAGAACAATCAGTGCTCGTCAGCTGTTTTAAATAAATATTTTATTGAGCAGGGCTTTTTGAAATGGGGTCTGATATAGCCCAGTCTGGCCTAGAACTCACTATAAAACTGAGGCTAGCTTTGAACTCCTGACTCTTTGACTCCAATCTCCCAAGTGCTAGGATTACAGATATTTGTCACCATGCTTGGCAAATCATTTAAAAATATTCTTTTTATTATTGAAGGAGTGTGGGGGTGGCTGGAGAGTTTGCTCAAATCTTTTTTTTTTTTTTTTTTTTTTTTTTTTTTTTTTTTTTTTTTTTTTNTTTTTTTGGTTTTTCGAGACAGGGTTTCTCTGTGGTTTTGGAGCCTGTCCTGGAACTAGCTCTTGTAGACCAGGCTGGTCTCGAACTCACAGAGATCCGCCTGCCTCTGCCTCTCAAGTGCTGGGATTAAAGGCGTGCGCCACCACCGCCCGGCTGTGGTTTGAGAGTTTGCTCAAATCTTAAAAGTACTTACTGTTCTTGCTGTTCTTATTGTTCCCAGCACTAACATGGTGGCCCACAATAGCTTGTAACTCCAATTTTAGGTAATCTGATACCTTCTGTTGGTGTCCTTGAGCTTCTGCAAAAACATGGCTCACATTAACTCCCATAGGCACATGTGTACACATACATATAAATATACATATACCTATAAATAAAATCTTTTTTTAAAAGGTTTATTGTGCACAATCACATTTCTGATTGGGCAAGGAAATACTATGGGGGTTATGACTTTTGCAGCAAGGGTGAAATTATTAATCTTAATAAGGAAAGGAGGAAGTGCTGGGGATGTTGCTCAGTTGGCAGAATGCTTGCCTAGCATGCACTAAGTCTTGGGTCCTATAAACTGTATAAACTAATATATGTGGTGGTCAGTCCTAAAATGGAGGCAGGGGAGTTGGAAGTTCAGGGTCATTCTCTGCTATGTAGTGAGCTGGAGGCCAGCATCGGGCTACATAATACCCTGTGTTAGAAAAAAAAAGATTTGATGGCACACACCTTTAATCCCAGCACTATGAGGCGGGTGGAGTTGCATAAGTAGGTGAATGTTTTTGAGGGTTTGAGGCTAGCGTCATCTACATAGTGAATTTAGATCTGGCAGGGATGCATAGTAAAACCTTGGGGTTTTTTTGTTTGTTTGTTTGTTTGTTTGTTTTGTTTTTTCCAGTCAGGATTTCACCATATAACAGCCTTGACTGTCCTGGAACTAGCTTTGTAGTAGGCTAACCTTGAACTCACAGAAATTAGCTTGTCTCTATCTCCTGAGTGTCAGGATTGAAGGTGTGGGCCACCACTGACTAGCCTTCTTTTTATTATATTTTACTTTTTTGAGACTGGGTTTCTCTGTGTAGCTCTAGCTGTCCTGAAATTTGCTCTGTAGACCAGGCTGGCCTCGAACTCAGACTGGCCTGCCACTGTCTCCCAAGTGCTGGAATTAAAAGGCATGGGCCACCACTGCCTGGCTAACAAAACCTTGATTATTTTGTTGTTATTTTTATTTAAAAAAATATGCTGGCGTGGTGGCACACACCTTTAATCCCTGAACTCAAAGGCAGAGACAGGTAGATCTACCTGAGTTGGAGGCCTGCCTGGTTGGTCTACAAAGTGAGTTCCAGGACAGCCAGGGGCTACACAGAGAAACCCTGTCTTGAGAAACAAACAACAAAAAACAGACATGGTAGTGCATACCTTGAGTCCCAGCCCTTGGAAGACTCTGTGAGTTCTAGGCAAGCCTAGTCTACATAGTTAGCTCCAGGCCAGCGAGAGGTACATGGTAAGACCCTGTCTCAAAAAGGCAAAATAAATAACAAACAAAAGGAAAAGATGCCAATACTGTAAGTAAACTGAAGACATGGTAGATGGCTCCGCTCATTCTCACAAACAAAATTTAAACACTATAAAAATGAAAATGTAATTGGAGCCTGGCCTGGTGGCACAGGCCTGTTAATCCCTATATGGGAAGGAGGATCCTAAGTTTAAGTCTCAGCCTGTAAAGTAAAAACTCAGAGATCTGCTTTCCTCTGCCTTTGGAGTGCAGGATTAAAGGTGTTCACCACTATGCCCCAAAATATCTGTTTTTGATTCCTAGCCTACTATTGCCCATTAGCAGACGTGCTACTTTGGCATTCATAACTTCATGTGGGTATAAAGACCCATTGACACATGAGCAAACTGAGATTTAGATTAAGCAATCAGTTTGATAGCCTGTAGTTAGGCTAAGAAGCTGGGTTCAAAGTCATGTCTGAGTGGTGCTTTAGGTACTGTCTCTTACTGTACTGCCCTCGTAGGTTTTTCTGGGCCTTGAATTTCAGGTTATTTTAAAGGACAAGGTGGTCAGAGTCTTGCAGCCTGTCACTTCAGCCTTGAGAAGTGAAGCGGGGCTGTGGCTGGAAGCAAAGGCCAGTGCTGAGGTTCCGGGAAGCCTAGTGGGAGGAGCTGGGAGAGGTGGGATCAAGGGACTACCTATCCCAGCATTCCATGAGCTCCTCCCTGCGGAGTTCACGTCACGTGGGCGGGACAGGCGACGTTCTGCCGTGGCGGCTGGGGGTTGCAGACCAGCGCTTGGAGCTGGAGGAACAGTCTTGTCGCCGCTGATCCTGACTGTCCCGTGATTTAAAACTTGACTGGAATTTGTAAGTAAGCAAAACGAAATCACAACTTTAACATGTTTTAGAGTCTGAACTGCTATTTTCTCCTCTCAAAAGGTCTTTGAGAAAGGATCCCTCCCCACCCCCACCTCCCTACGGCGCAAACAGAAATCGAGGTAGGTTGGGATGGGTATATAATTTCCGGGAGTGTGCAGAAAGTGTACCTGGAATCTTTCAAGCATAAAACGAAACAAAGTGAGAGTAGATTTTTGGTAGGAACTTCAGATGAGAAGTAGAATTACTTTTAAGTTTTGAAATGTAAAGGCGAATTCTTACTGTAAGTGTCCGTTTCTCTTTTCTCTCTGCATACCAGGGTCCTAGTAGTCATTTTAGTCCTTAAAAGATAGAACATTTGCATTTTCCACTTACTAATAGTGCTAAAAGGGACAAACTTTGAAGTTTTTTTGTTTTGTTTTTAGTGACAGGGTTTCTCTGTATAGCCTGGCCTCGAACTCAAGGAGAGAGGGATCCGCCTGCCTCTGCCTCGCTAGTGCTGGGATTAAAAGGGTGTTCCACCACGGCCCGGCCAACGTTGAAATTTTAATAAGACCTATAATTATTTTGCTTGCTTTTCTATGTACTCAGCTGTGTTTCATACCCATTTTTAAAAATTCATCCTTAGAGGAGCGGTGTTAGTGTCGGGAGACAGAGGCAGGCGGATCTCTGTGAGTTTGAGGCCAGCCTGGTCTACAAGAGCTAGTTCCAGGACAGTCTCCAAAGCTACAGAGAAACCCTGTCTCGAAAAACAAAATCAAAACAAATTCATTCTCTTTCTTTAAACAAAATATGTAGTACTCTCTGTATTGTCAGATTTTATGCTTATTTTAATCGATCCAGAGATGAGTTAACTTTTCTAATTAAATACACCGATTTTGTTTGTGTTCCTGTCTTTTTTTCTCCCCAAGACAGGGTTTCTGTTTGGAGTCCTGACCGCCCTCTTGCCTCTGGAATGCTGGGGTTAAAAGCGTGCCTAACCACACCCAAAGTGCCTGTCCTTACGTTTTAAAAATAGTTTATTTAAATATATGAAAGGTTTTGTTTTTAATGGCTACCACAGGGTCCCAGAACTACTAGTTTTAAATTTTCTGGGAAGCCTTCTGGATTGGGATAGTTTAAACCAAGCAACATGACATTATTTTGAGGCACTTTCTTAAGTAATGTTGTTGATTGATCTAGTGCAGAGTCCACAACTAGATAACCAATTTTGCTGCAGTTGTCATGTGACCTTGGCTAACTCATGTAAGCTTTTTCTTTTTCTTTTTTTTTTTTAGCTTTTTCTTTTTTTAATCAGTTTCCCTCCTAATACAGAGATTACCACACTGAGAGCTTCTGTAATAAACAAATACCCAGAATTTAGATGGTTACTTGAGAAATAGAGTAGGATTTTTGTTTGTTTGTTTTTGGGGGCTTTCATTTATTTTCTTGAGGCAGGATCTCTGTATTATATAGTCCTGGTTTACCTGAACCCCTCTATTATTAGACCATTTAGCTTTGAATCAGAATCCACCAGACTCTGCCTCCCAGGTGCTGGGATTAGAGTTGTAGCGTGCTTGACTGTGTCTCAATTGTGCTAGGTCGTCCATTTTGTGCAGTGAGACAAGCACTGTCAATAGCATGTCCTGAACAGTGGTTAGATACACGGACTTTGGAGTCATGGCTGATCAGACCTCCTGTTCTGTCCAGATTCCATTGCTGGCCCGAGGATCTTAGGACTTTGGCAGATAACGTTGTACTTCTGAGCCTGTTTCCTTATTAGTAAAGTGGGGAGTTGTAGGGTTGTTTAGAATATCAAATGAAATTTAAGTACAGAAGGAAAAACAGCTACTACTAATATTACTAATTGGGTTTCTCTGCTGTATACTAGTATTACAGGAATTATAGTATATGATTTTGGTAATCCAAATAGAAATAAAGTTCACTTGTAATTTAATTATTTCTACAGATCAAATTGTATTGCTTTTCTAAATTATTTTTTAAATTTGTTTTGCATCCCAACCACAGTTTCCTCTCCCTTCTCTCCTCCCGTGTCCCCCCATGTATTGCTTTTTAGTTGCTTTACAACTAAACATGACAAAATCAAGTTTAAAATGTTAGTTTTGTCATTTGAAGGTGTAGATAGCTCTAATAGAGCCGCCTAGATTTACTTTATTCTGATGCACTGGAGAAAAACAGCAGTACTTTATTTAGTGCAGTTTCCGTGTGAAACCTAGTTTCTGAGCCCCTTTTGTACCTTGGTACTGCTCCATGCTGCTGTCTCATTTCGCTGGCGCACTGCCTTAGCCACCTGGGTGGTCGTATCCTGCTTGTGGTACAGAACGCCAGCAGCCTGAGGAGAGGACTCAAGTCAGCACAGGAGCCGGCATTCAGGCTCAGGCAGCGGAGGGGATTGCTGATCAGCTCTGTGTTTGTGGATGTCTATAGACAGGAGTTATCCAAGGGTTAATTGACTTACAACTTCTTTGCTTAAAAATTGCAGTCTGTATGCTTTGTAACTAGGTGGTCCTCTGTTTAACATCTTATAGGGAATAGTAATGTCTCTAGTCACCTTTGGTTTTATTAGTGGTGACTGAAAACATAGTTGGTACTCAGGCATGTTACAGATTATCTTTTGAAAATGAACGAGAAACAGTATTTTATAATAAAGGGAGGTGACTGTTCTTTAAAGATCCTTTAAACTTTACAGGACCTGACTTAGGATCCCAGTATGCAGGTCAAAAGTCAAATGTGGCCAGTGCTTGCCTATACCTCAGCCTAGCTGCAGGTTCAGTGAGGCACCCTGTTTCAAAGGATCATCTGGCAAACCTATTAAATTTTGGCATGAGTTTCCTTAGGTTTTCAGAGATTCAGGGATAATGTGTCTATGAATGTTTTCAGAGATTCAGGGATAATGTGTCTATGAATTTGTAGTTCCGACTAACTCCCATGAAATGCTAATTAATATCAGATAATAAGTTGAATATAGTAAGGAAATGGCTGGGAGGGAAGTGGTGGTTCATGCCTTTTATCCCAGTATTCCAGAGGCAGAAGCAGGCAGATTGTCTACCGAGCGAGTTCCAGGGCAGCCAGGACTGTTCTATAGGACTGTTAGGCAGAGAAATGGAGTATTAGTGGGGAACTGGGTGCAGTGGCACAGCCTGTAATACCAACTGCTCAGGAAGCTGGAGGAGGAAGATTTTAAGTTCAAGGGCAGCCTGAGCAACATGATGACGCCCTGTTTTTAAAGAATAGTTATTGTCTTGATTGATGGTCACTTTGATGATGTCCAATAGAAGTGGACATTCGGATCTGGTTTATGAAAAGCTTGTTGGAGGGACAGGAGCCAACTTTAAGAATCTCCTAATGGCTAAGTTAAAACAATGGGAACAGTAAAATTAATGCTGATAGTATGGAATTTAAACCCATAAAGTCTCTATTCCTAAGTCCTTCCTGATAACATCTTACTGGGATCTCCAGTTCATGCTGACAATTCAGTGACTAAGCGCAGCAGGTAAGAAGGAAGTAGGACGTCACCTTGAAACAAGCAGCACCGTAGTGATGGTTTCATGTAACGTTTGCCTGGGTACTGGCAAGTGAAAGAGAAGAGTCGGGGTATCTCCTAAGATAATACTAACTGCTAAAGAAAGCGGTAACCTGACAGTGGAGACAGTGTGCAAACCTAGTGCTTAAGGTTTGTATTCGGTAAGACATAGGCATAATATACATGAGGACATGTTTCTTCAGTTTTGGTTATTCTATGAACTTTTTGTTTTCCAAATCACAATAAACTGACAGACACTATTCTTGCAGACTGTCAAGGTCACAAAAGACAACTTATGTTTAAGAGATGGAGGAGATAAAAACTAAATGTCATGTGGGTTCTGTTTTAAACATGAAGATTTTTTTCCAAGTTCTTGGAGAGATTTCTGATAGACCTTTCAGATAATCAGATCCTTTAACGTAAAACTCTGTTGCTGGACTTTGGGGGAAACAAGATAGGCCATCCAACAGCAAACTGTATTTATAGAGTTAGCAGCTTAGAGAAGGTGCCAGATAGGATGTAAAATCTTAATTTAGGAAGTTAATCCTATTGTTCACCATGCCTTGTGGGTATTACATGCTAGGAACTGCTTAGCAGTTAGGGAAGATAGTAGGTAGAATATGTGGTGCGGGGTTCCTGGCTTGGAACCTAGAACAGAAAAAGAACATTAATGGGAAGCCGGCGGTGGTGGTGGTGGCTCACGCCTTTAATCCCAGCACTGGGGAGGCAGAGGCAGGCCGATCTCTGTGAGTTCGAGACCAGCCTGGTCTACAAGAGCTAGTTCCAGGACAGGCTCCAAAACCACAGAGAAACCCTGTCTCGAAAAACCAAAAAAAAAAAAAAAAAAAAAAGAACATCAATGGGAAAACTGGTAAAGTTTTAATGTGATTTTATTAGTAGACTTTTATTAGTAGACTTATCAATGTTGAGTTTGTTGGTTTTAACAATTTCCCCTTACATAAGATATTGAATGAAGCATGTAAGGAAGTGGCATCGTTTCTGAAACTTTTCTGTGAGTTGGTAGTACCAGGTATGGTCTATATAGCTAGTTCCAGGCCAGCCAGAGCTACATAGTGAGACCCTGTCTATGACCCCAGGTATAAAATGGGGGAGAAACAGGAAGATTGCTGGCTACCAGCCTACCTTCCAGTTGAATGAGGGAAGACCCTGTCTCAAAGAATTAATACAGGGCAGGTTGTCTAGTGCACACCTTTAACCCCAGCATTGGGAGGTAGAGGCAGTACAGGCAGATCTGAGTTTGAGGTCCAGCAAGGTTACTTAAAGATACTTAAGGATTTAAAAAGCCAGAAGTGAGTAAATAAGCTAGGCATGGTGGCACACCTTTAATCCCAGCACTGGGGTGGCAGAGTTCAAGGACAGCCAGGGCTACACAGAGAAACCCTGTCTCAAAAAACAAAACTGAAATAAAACAAAGCAGAAAACAACAGCAAAACAAGTGAGTAAATAATAAACTGTGGATAGAGCATCTGTAATCTTACTAGTCAGAAGGCTGAGGACGGAGGTCAAGCCTGGTTATATAAGATTCCAGAAAAAAAGTGTATATGGAAGTTGGGGTAAAATTGGGGGTCATGATCTAGT